GTTCACAAATTTGTATCCGTAGTAATATAAGATATCAGTCATTAAAATTCATGTTTAGATATCTCAAGTGGTCGTCACGTATCATAGGCAAAGCGACGCAGTTCATCAAAGACAAACTTACTCGTCCGTTTGTGGGAATACATCTGCGTAACGACAAGGACTGGGTAATAATTACTCCCTCATATGTGCCGAGTTTTAATAGGTTTGAGCAGTCTGATTTGCTGCGAATGATGGGGCGTGTCCGAGCTGCTGCGCATAGCACATTGCCAAATCTATTCCCTACCAGTTGTTTCAGCGGATAACTGTCAATAACCGGTGAGAAACACCTGATACGAATGATAGGATGTAGTTTTCTAACTTGCCAAAAGAAAAAAGAAAAGAACGGACTGGCGCTCCGTCACAGATCCGTCCCCCCTGACCATTTCAACCATCCGCAGCAAACACGATATGAGCCCGTGAATTATCCGTTGATTTTACCGTATCTCTTTTCACGTTTGACAAGGCTTCTGGGATGTAGTTTTTGATGTAGCGCAATGCTTGTGTTTGACGACTTTGTCACCGACTTCAGTCGTTGCTAAATATTTTTTGAAGGAGCGTGTGTGCGAACATATACCTTCTACGCCTGCAAGTCAACCTTTATTCGCTTCTATGCAGTGTGAAGGACAAGAGTTTTATGATGGCAAGCTGACAAAGGAGATCTGTTCCCCTTCTGCAAGCACTGTTGTTGAACAGGTGACTGCGTCGGTTTTTTGAAAAGTTGCGGATAATTAGCATTGTGAACTGTGGTACTCTACCGTTCAATGTACGCGCTATACAGCATTTGATGAATTATTTCAGGTGGTCGACGTTGTCGGAAAAATCGGTGCCCGTTCGGTTTTCGTATCCAGTGATAAGGACCACATGATTGAGACTCTGAATGATGCTCTTCGGGCCTACGACGTTGGTTACAGTTTCTAAAATCTTACAGTCTCGTTCACTGCGGATGAGGGACGTGCCAGCGCGTTTGGCGCGACGCCAACTTGTTTTTTTTTCTTCCGGCAAACCATATCGTTCGTACCAGCCGTTCCGCAAAAATGTACGGGAACGAAGCTATAATGTAATGGAACCCGGATGTCGTGTCCATACTCCGCCCGCGCTATAGTGTAGCGCTTGCGCTCGCGTCTATCTCAAAATCCCACAGCGAAGCACGCACTCAGCGTTAGAAAACAAGCAGAAATAAGAGAGCGCAGACAAGTAGCGCACTGGCCATGGCTAGGCGTTTGTGGTAGCGGACTATGGAGATGCCGTTCCCGGCATCGCCTCTCTGTAATCGCGTTCCCGTGCATTTTTGACCGGATATAGTGACGCGGTACTGCGGCTGCGGCATATACGACAAGGCAGGATCCATGAAGGTGATTGTACGACTTGCCTTCAAGGTAACGGTTAGAAACGAATGTCACTTTAAACGTAAGACTAGACGATGGGCGGACTACTAGCATCATCACAGGCGCCTGACGTACTTACCACACCTCCCGGAAAGTGATACGTCCTCCGCTCCGCGACAGGATTACCTTGTCCAAGTGAAGCGTCTGCACGCAGGACGTGCTTTTAAGCAGTGGATGGAGGAGGAGACACTTGATTGCTACGGAAAAGAATGCAGTCCAGATATGAGCTCAATCTCTGATTATTCTCTGAGAGAAAAGACGCTGATCTCTGATGAAAAATTCTTGATGACCTTTTAGTGCTCTTGTGGGAGCTTGATCCACACACTTTCAGGTGAAAGCTTTTCGACTGAATCCCGACGATGCTCTGGTTTCGTTGGCTATTCTTGGTCAAGCAGACCACTTCATCGGTAATTGCGTATCAACATTTTCCCACATTGTTCGACGAGAGAGGACAGTTAGCAAGCCCTTGAAACCAACCTCATACTTTGGCATCAGAGGTCAGGAGAGGCGGATGGAGCTTTAGTCTTTTTGCTTGAGTAGAGTTCTGTCAGTTTGCTTTTAGTATGTGTATAGGCAGCTACCGTGATCATTTTCGATCACAATAAGTTTGAGTTCTTCATTTCATTTTGTTACGTTGAGGTTTTTGAAACCAAACGATGAAACCAAAAGGCTTTGCTGAAATCAAAAATGATGTGATTTCCACTGGTTCATGTAGCTTTTCGTGATTATTCTGTTGAACTCAGTCCGTGCCATTGTACATGTTTAGGTTGTGGGAAGTGATTGATAAGTTATTTGGCAAATGTTCTTAGTTTGTTCTTCGTTCCATGCCCCGTAGTATCTTTTTCAGTTATAGCGCTAACGAGCCAGTCATTCAACACTTGATTTTATTCAGTTCCACTTTTCCATTTCGATGATTATGATGAATGGGTGGTTCCTTGGCGGTGTAACAGAACCCTTGCTCAAACAATCGCTCTGTTTTTCGCTTGTGGATGGTTTGCTGTACAAGCTATACTTGTTCGCTGCGAATGTTGGGGCGTGTCAGGAGGTGGGGGTGGGGCCGGCTTGGAAGCGCGCTAACCCGCTCCGCACGAATTGTTGAAGCAGGCAAGCGAAAATAATTGGTGGAGAACGGGTTGACGCTGCGTC